CCCGGCGTGTGTGTGTGTGTGACTGTGTATGCGTTCGTTCAGTTCGTCGGTATCTGTTTGTGTGTACAACTGCGTATGTTGTAACGAATCTGGATGTGTTTATGTTAGCAGAATTTGCGTCTGCGTTATGTTCAACTGGGTATATGTATGTGTGTGTTAATGTGTGGTAATTGTCTTGGTGTACATGCATGTTTATAAGAACTTATATAGTTCTTTACATACAAAATCACACACATATATAAGTATGTGTATATATATATATATATATATATATATATATATATATATATATATATATATGTATATATATATATATATATATGTGTGTGTGTGTGTGTGTGTGTGTATGTATATGTATGTGTATATATAAATAAATGTATATGTATATATACTTATATATATATATACATATATATTTATCTTTATACATAAATTTATATGTATGTATACATGTATATATGTTTGTATTTATATGATTAAATATATATATTTATATATATATATATATATATATATATATATATATATATATATATATATATGTGTGTGTGTGTGTGTGTGTGTGTGTGTGTGTGTGTGTGTGTGTGTGTGTGTATTCGTATATATACATACATATAAATACATATATATATATATATATATATATATATATATATATATATATATATATATATATGTGTGTGTGTGTGTGTGTGTGTGTGTGTGTGTGTGTGTGTGTGTGTATACATACATATATATATATAATGATATATATAAAATATATAATATACATACATATATATATATATATATATATATATATATATATATATATATATATATATATATATATATATGTGTGTGTGTGTGTGTGTGTGTGTGTGTGTGTGTGTGTGTATAATTATTATATATATACATACACACACATGTATGCATGTATATATGAAATAATTTGCAAGTGCATCTGTATTGATATGTAGTCTTATATATCAACTTATCTCCATCTGCGTGAATACAGTCACATGTTTACGTAATTGTCAATGCAACTCTTGAAAAGCCCATGTATTTCTTAATCCAACTGCTAATGCATCAAACACAATTTACATAACCAAACACCGCACCTACATATGTGTCTTTACGATAACTGAACAAGAAAAGCTTATGAGTGTACGCATCTATACGACCATATACGTCTATGTACATCTCCTTCCCCACCGGTGTCAAGAAAGTCCGTGTGTTTACAGCCACCTTCGAAGAGGTAGGTTAACACCATTTCCGAGGAACGTATAGGTCTTCCTTGCTCGTTCTTCTTGGTAACGCTGGTGATGGCTGTGGGGTGTTTGGGTGCCCATAGAAGCCCTAGGAGGAAGGGGTACTTTTAATGGGTATAATGGATATCTTTAATATGAGAGAAGGAGGAAAAAATGGATACGTACTGGGGGAGGTTAAGTTGATATTTGATATTCATTTGTTGAATTGTTTATTTGTTTATTTTTGTTTTGTTTTTTGTTCTTATTAGAGGAGAGAAAGAATGGATACGTGATATAGGAGGTTAGGTTGTTGTTTGTCACTGTGGTTCGGTATTTATTTATTTATTTGTTTTTATTTTGTTTTGGTTCTGATGTTAAGCGCGTGAGAGATAGAAATGGACATGTGATGTTGGAGGTAAAGTTAAGATTCATTACTACATTTTTTTTTATTATTATTCTTTCTTTCTTTCCTCTTTTCTTTGTTTTGTATATTTTTGTTCCCATGTCGGGGTTTCTGATCTACGTTTTCTTTGTTTGTTTTTGTTTTTGAAATATTTCATACACTTTTTTATTTTGTCCGTCGTATGCTATATTTACGTTTGTTTATGCTTATTATACCCCATGTGTCTGTTTATTTGTTTTTTGTGTCTTGTTCTAGCATACGGTGATTAGAAATGGTGGATAATGTGATGTATTTTGTTATTTAAGAACAGTTAGAGCGCAGTTGATGAAAAGTAAACGAGAAGGTGTTGATCAGTCTGCACATTATTTATACTTGCAACAGAAAGCAACGATAACAAATTAATGCAACACCGGTTACTAATATAAATCAATTCATATACACATCTTTGGCAAATAAATCAACACAGACAGTCAAATAAATAAAATACAAGTTGTTCCTTCCTTATTGTAAATAGAGGAGGGACGTGTGAACTAAACTCTCTTTTTATGGGATTCAAATAATTTTTTTTTGCGGTGGGGGGGGGGGGGGGATGCTGGTGAACCTGACAAGTTCATCACACATTCCATCTGGGCGAGAATCAGTTGTTCTCTCCCTCTGTCTTTCTTTCTTTCCCGATCTCTTCTTTCTCTCTCTCTTTTTCTTTTTCATTCACCTTTCTTTTCTCTCTTTTTTCTTTTTCGTTCACTTTCTCTCTCTCTCTCTCTCTCTCTCTCTCTCTTTCGTTCTCTCTCTCTTTCTCTCTCTCTCTCTCTCTCTCTCTCTCTCTCTCTCTCTCTCTTCTTTTTCTCTTTCTTCTTCTCGACCTCGCCTCGCCTCCCCCCTCTCTCTCCCCTCCTCCCCTCCTCTCTCTCTCTATATACATTTTTTTTTCTTTTTCTCTTTCTTCCCGATTTCGCCCCCCCCCCCCCCCCTTCTCTCTCTCTCCTCTGTCTGTTCCTTTTTTCTCGTTTCTTCTTCTTCATTTCCCTTTCCTATTTTTTTTCACTTTGCATGATGTTTATCTTCTTCCCTTCACTATTTCTTTCATATAAAGAGGTAGTTACACCGATAATGTACATTACCCTTTTATTTTTACAAGTATAATAACGACAGTGATAGTGATAAATTATTATAATGATGAGCATACCGATGATCATTATTAGAAATGGTGATAATGATAATGATAATAATGATGAGAATAATAATGTGTATAAACATATTAGCGTCCAATTTGATGATAATGCTAATAATGACGATATAAATGATAATACGATTATATTAATATGGATAATTATGCGTTTTTTTATCGCACGCATTAAATTTATTCCTCATTTATTATGCTCATATTATTTATTCCTTTTACAATGTTTATTATCTTTCATTACCACTTACACACACTTATTCGACTCTGTATAGAGTATCACCTTTATATTTGCTTATTATTCATGTGCGATATTAAGTACAGGATTAACATACATAAATGATACTCCCTATATAATATTAATACCTCCTTTCATACACCTACGTTCCTGTCCATTCATCCAGGGATAATGTAACTTCTGCTCCTATAAGGCGGTCATAAATATAATTCTAATTTTCATTACAACGCTTATGCGCCATGACACCGGCTGCGCTATATACGGGGAGACCAGCGTGGCCAGGAATCCATATAAAACGTGTTATGTAACGATCTCCAACCAGCTGCGAGATAGCGTTGAATTATTCATATGGCGTGGGGTTTCGTTTGATCTAACGTTGTCATTGGCACGTTTTACCTTGCGCATATAGATATACATGCGGTATTAGATACAAATATATGTGTATATATACAGAAACACACACACACATACATACACACATACAGGCATACATGCACACACACATACACGCGCACACACACACACACACACACACACACACACACACACACACACACACACACAATATATATATATATATATATATATATATATATATATATATATATATATTTATATATATGTATATATACATATACATATACATATGTATACATAGATGTGTATTTGTGTGTCTCTATATATGTCTGTGTGTATACTATGTATAAACACGGAACAAGGCAAAGATACCTCCTTATTTGCTCCCTCGGAAACCTTTCCTGAAGATGCTCCGGACATAAAAGCTTTGTAAAGATCTTCTCTTTGTATGGCCTTGTTATTGTCTCTACAAACAAGACCTAATATCCCCTCTGTCAATAACACACGTCCTGTCTTTTCCTCCATAGAGCGAGTTACGGAAAGAAGGGGAAAAAAATACAGGGCATTTGAGAATAAGAATAGTATTTTCTTCCTGTTTTTCGTTTTGAAATATAGTTAACTCTTTTAATATCCTTATTTAAATCATAGTATCATCAGCGATTTCGAAATTTGCATAAAAATTCGAGATCGTCATGCAAGCAAAATGAAAGGAAGTTAGAGTATGTTTATTGAAAGACCCCCTCCCCCCCACCTACCTCCCACCCCTTAACAGTGAGTCAGTCACCTCACGGTCGAAGATGATTCAGGTGTGACTGACTCTGCCACTGTTAAATGGTTTCGGTTTTAAGAATTTAGATCGGGCGATATAGTGCTGTGCGTATATACGTAGATAGATGGAAAGGTAGATAGATCGACTGATAGATATATAGATAGATAGATAAGTAGGTAGATAGATAGATTTAAATATAAATACATAAATAAACACACACACGCACATATATAGATAGATAGATAGAAAGACAGAGAGAGAGAGAGAGAGAGAGAGAATGAGAGAGAGAGAGAAAAAAAAAGAGTGAGAGGGGGAGAATGAGAGAGATGTGTGGGGGCGATTTAGAGTCTACAAAAGATAGTAATATTACATTTATCATTCTAAGGGTGATCTTTAATTGGATTTGCTTTCCTACACATAGTGCAGTTTCATAAAAAAAAACACAAACATTAGTTATTCTAGTAAATATTCACAAGCATTATCTATTATCAAGTTGTTATATACCGAATGGCCGATGAAAAAAAAGGTTATTATTAGAACAGTGATTATAAGGGAAATAATTAATTTTGCCATTAAACTATACGGAAGAGGATGATGACAATTTTGTCAGTATAATGATATACTATAGTACTAGCCATAATGTTCACGACAACAGATCTTTCTATAATATACATAATGATAAGATATATTTAATCAATGCGTCTGATATGATAGCCATAAAGAGCATAACATTGTCAATGAAGATTAAGAAAAAAATAGACAAACAAACGTTATTCAGTTGGTGTGAAGATGTTTAGATTTTTTTTTTTTTCCTTTTATTTTAG